CCTCCAGCCCTAGCATTTAGCCCTAAATAGAGAGGCAGCTACAGGTGACCTCCCCTCCAGTGTATATAATATCACCTCATTTAGCTTCTCCCATCGCTCAGCTGTAGTCACTGTTGCCAAAGCCCATCCTATCCCCTCAACGTGTAGCAAGTGGGTAAGGTTCTGGGGAGGGAGCTTGGTTTCAGACCCAGACAGATCTTTCCAATTTCTGAACCCATGGGCTTAACTGCTGCCCAAGTTCTCAGAGATTGGGGGAGGTGCACTGGATTGAGGCATCCTCATTCACTCTACTCCACTTTTCCCATCTCTTTCTACACTCACATTGCTGGACAAAGCTGGCATGCACAGAGCCAGTGTATCTGGACAGAGGGACCAGTCCTAGGACCCGTCACATTGTCTTCCCCCATCACGTCTGAATTGTTTAGGCCATTCAGCTGTGAGGCTGAAGGGACCAGGTCTTGGGGGACCCTGTAGATCGGTTGTGTCCTGCCCCTGCCCCTAGCCATCCTGTGACTGATGCCTTAAAGTCCAGCCTGAAGGGACAGTGAAGCTATTGGACACAAAGGTGCCATACACAGCACCCCCCCTTCCATTACAGTCCCTTCTCTCCTCAATCTGTTTCTTCTCTTTACTTGAACCTTCTCCTTCCCCTCATCCATTTTCAGTACTGACCCTCCCCCCACGTGATGATCACACACAATGTCACCATCGTACTCCAGCTCTCCCGGGTGTCAGTGTGCCACAGCTGCCTTCCTCGGGTGCCAGCGGCAGCATCTCCTCCAGGTTCACATTCCAGCATCCCTTCCTGTCCAACTCACTGTCCACCTCATCGCATACCTGGAGGTGCGCTCCCTGGAGGCCACACCACAGGAGGCTGACCCTTGCCTAGGACCCGCTTCGCTTTGTTTCTCTGCTACTTCTCCCAACCCACACAACCCAGGCATCTGGGGCTGTGGAGCGAGAAGCCGGGGTGTGAGTCAGGCGCGGGGTGGCGCGCCCCACCGGGCGGACAGCGATTGCTGCGCAGGCGCCACCTGCACTCCGCCCGGGACGGGACACCCGCAGGGGAACCAAAAGGCCTTTAGCATACCTGCTGCGCCAGGATACCAGGGGCGCCCCCAAAGGGTTCAGTTTGGCCCGTGTGCCCGGCCCTCCCCTGGAGGAGGAGCGAAAAGCCGGCGGCGAGCACTCACCGGTGGCCGGGCTCGGGCCAGCAGCGGCGGCAGCAGCGCGAGCAGCAGCAGCAGCAGCAGGAGGAGGGCGCGCGGGGCCGCGCTGCGGAACCCGGCGGCCCGAGCCATCCGCCCGGGGGCTGCTGGGCCTGCTGGGCCGCGCCCGGCCACCGCCCCTTATAGCCTTTGCTCCGCCCCCGGCCCGGCCCGGGCACGCCCCCTTCCCCCCCCCCCCCCCCGCCGCCTTTTGTTCTAAACTCTCCCGGCCGGCGACCGTCGCCCCGGCCGGGGTGGGGGAGGTGGCCCTGGAGGGGCTGGGCTCACTGAGTTCGGAGGGGAGTCTGAGAGAGAGGAGTCGGGTTTCACTCCGATCGATTCCTACCCCCCACTTTTGGAAGGCTAATTGTCCCACGGAGTCTCCGTGAGGGCCTGACCTCCGACCTTCGGTGACAGGTGGTTCTGAGACCCAGGAAGACGTCCCCCCACCTCTCCCGGGACTCCCCAGCCCAACCGGATGGAAGATGCCACAATAGCTCTTGTGAGGAAAGTTTGTCCCGGGGAACACTGAGGCATATGACAGGCTAACCAGCCTCTCACCTTGCCACGAACTGGGCACAATCTATAGATGGAGAAACTGAAGATCTGAGATGGGCCAGATTTGCCCTTACTAACGCAAGCGGAAGTGTTAGAAGACCCTCCAGCTGGTCCAGCAGGGGGTAGGGAGAGCGATAGAAAGGTGTCAGTTGGGGACTAGAGCCCCTGGCTGCTCCCAGATCAGGGCCTCCCTCCTGACTTCCAGGGCCTGCTTGGGGGTGGGGTGGGGGGGCAGAGAAGAGAGAATCAGAGGGAGTGATATCCACAATGATGGAAGGGGTTCTCCAATCTCACCCCCAGGACCCCAGACAATCTGCCCCCTCTCTGGCACCCTCAAGAGCAAAGATTGAGGTAGCGGCTCCCTCCCGTTTTGACAGGGATCCTAGCAGCTGCCAGGTAAGGCTACCAGCAGCCTGGGCAAAGAAAGAGAAGCTGAGAATCTCCCTCCCTCCCTCCCTCCCCCCCTCTCCAGCCTCCCCCCCAGCTTCTCCAGGAAGACTCAACAGAGACCCCTGCAGGGCGAGGAGGAGCAAGACAGCAGTCAGTTTTTTTTTTAATTTTTTTTTTTATTGTGACAATACTGTACAGAGGAGTTACAATTACATGGGCAAGATAATGAGTTCATTTCTTTTTTTGGGGGGGGGGTCCGGTCATGGGGCCTGAACTCTGGGCCTGGGTGCTGTCCCTCAGCTCTTCAGCTCAAGGCTAGCGCTCTACCACTTGAGCCACAGCACCACTTCAGGCTTTTTTCTTTTTGCTTATGTGGTGCTGAGGAATGGAACCCAGGGCCTCAGGCATGCAAGGCAAGCGCTCTACCACTGAGCCACCTTCCCAGCCCATGAGTTCATTTCTTATCAAGCATTGTAGCCTCCTCCTTTGTTTCCCCTTCCCATCCAGCAGTCAGTTTTATACCTTATCTATCAACAGTTCTTTTCTTTAAAATGTCTTCCCCCATTCCCACCCTCCCAAGGTGGGGCTTGAACTCTGGACCTGGGTGTTTTTCCCTTAGCTTTTTCACTCAAGGTTGGTGTTCTACCATTTGAGTCACAGCTCCACTTCTGGCCTTTTGGTACTTAATTGGAGATAAATGTCTCACAAATTTTCCTACTCTAGCTGGCTTTGACCCTCAACGATCAGATCTCAGCCTCCTGAGTAGATATGATTACAAACACGAGCCATCTATGCTTAGATCAAATGCCTCATTTTTAAAAGACTGGTATCAGTGTCTGCCTCAGCCTCCTCTAAGCAATACTAAAGCAAGAGTTTGGTGAGAAATTCATGTTTTCTGATACAGATGAAAACAGCATTTTTAAAAATGAAGCATTCGTTTGTATGAGTACCTTAAAATATCTTGAGTGCATCCAGTGGTGCATAACAATCCTTTAGGGGAAACCTACAAGCCATAAGCCATCTAGAATGGTCTTTAGGGAGAGGGTGCCATCACTACCAGCCAACAGTGCACTTGGTAGGATAGCTGATCACAGTCAGATTCTTACAAGAGGAATACTCTGATAAGCCTGGAAGGGAAGCTCATTTGGCCAATGGGAACCAGGTGATCAGCGACTTTATGGGCATGGGAAGGCTGGAGCAAGCCTGGCACATCATTGAAGAGGGAATGGCTTATTTTGCACAGAGTAGTTGAAAAGAATAAATGCAAGAGCACAAGAGTGGACATGACTTTCATGCATAGTGGTACAGAATACCTGTATAGTGTATTGGATCCTGCAGGTATCCTGTTCCCCTTCTCTCATTCACTCATAGAGGAACTGACTTCTGCTTTTGACTTGGTGATCAAAGCCCCACTCTTGGAGTCTCTTGCTTTTGATGATTTTCCAGTGCCAGGCAGCCACCTCCCCAAGGTGGGGGGAAGAAGTCAGGGTCTCTTCCAGTTCTTAGTAGGGGTCATAATATGATCACATCATAGACAGGGATTGGTGGCTCACACCTGTAATCCTAGCTACACAGGAGGCTGAGAAATGATGACAATTCAAAGCCAACCTGGCCAGGAAAGTCTGTGAGACTCTATCTGTAAGGTCCGCTCCTGGATGGCGAGCAGACTCCACCCTCCTCGCAGCAAAGTCCCCACCCAGTAACACTTTCTACAAATTAACTACTGAAAAAGCTGGAAGTGGAGCTGTGGCTCAAATGATAAGAGTGCTAACCTTGATCAAAAAAGCTAAGGGACAGCTCCCTAGACCTGAATTCAAGACACAGTACCAGAATAGTAAAAAATTAATAATGTGATCTGTCACAGTAACCCAGTAAACACCATAAAAACTGAGTTATTTCCTGAAGGGTCAGGAAGCATTCTAAATTCCTTCCTCTGGCCTCACCTTAGTCTGGAAGGTGCTGAAATCTTAAGTCCTTAGGATTTACATCGGTGTGTGGTTTGATTTTAGTTTGAGCAAGCAGCTCTAGACACTCCGGCCACACAGCTGGCGGAATGGGCACATTGCTTGAATGTCGCAAAACAAAACACTGTCAGCGTCCAGCGTTGCATCCGTGGGATCAGGAGCCCAGGGAAGCAGGCCAGATCGAACCCAGGAAGTACAATGGAATCAAGGTCCCGCAGATGGAGATCTTAGAGTAGGCACTGCTGGAGGTACTGAGCACGCAGAAAATCAAAGCGGGGTTCCTATGCCCTCTAGTGGCCATTCTAGGCCGTCGCACATCTTCCCGGGCTGGAGGCCACCCGCTGGTCGTCAACCACTGTCTAGTGAGACGCCTTCCTCACTGGAGGACCCGCTACCGCCGCTCCCACAGCTTCACTGACATTGCCGACATAAACCTTTGGCGGCTTGTGACCTTGGCCGGTGTCCGCAGGACCCTCCCACCCGGAGCCCGGAGCAGTGAGAGTGCCCCGGGCCACCCTGTTCCACCGGAACCGCGGGGCGATCGGCTCCCACAGGGGCGTGTCCACGAGGCCCCGCCCAACCCCGTCCCCTCGGCCACGGGGGCGTGTCCACGAGGCCCCTCCCAACCCCGCCCCCTCGGCCACAGGGGCGTGTCCACGAGGCCCCTCCCAACCCCGCCCCCTCGGCCACAGGGGCGTGTCCACGAGGCCCCTCCCAACCCCGCCCCCTCGGCCACAGGGGCGTGTCCACGAGGCCCCTCCCAACCCCGCCCCCTCGGCCACAGGGGCGTGTCCACGAGGCCCCTCCCAACCCCGCCCCCTTGGCCACAGGGGCGTGTCCACGAGGCCCCTCCCAACCCCGCCCCCTCGGCCGCAGTGACAAGTGCCCCGGCTTCCAGTCCCGGTGACACAGCCGCCGCCAGCCACCGTCTCTGTCTCCTACCGACTTTGGCTCCACCGCCACCACCATGCCTCGGGGCAGCCGCAGCTCGGCCGCTCGGCCAGCCAGGTGTGAGGGGCCCCGAGTCCCGGGAGGAAGGGGGAGAGAGAAACGTGGGCCTCGCATCCCGCGAGGGCATCCGGAGGGTGACCTTGAGTTCGATCGCGCCATCTTGGCGGGGGGAGGGCGCCGCGCAGCCATCGCGTGTCCCGGACGGTGCGCTCCCCCTTGCTGGGGACGAGCAGGGGTCGTTGCCAGGACCTGCAGACCCGACAGGTCCTTGGCTTGGGATCTGGCCAGAATTAATCTTGCTTCCTCCCCCGCTTCGCCATTCCCTACCTCTGCAGCCGTCTGGCCACAACTTCTGCCCATCCTCCCGCGCACCCACCACCCTCCGCTGCCGCTCCCGCTCCGGTTCCATCGGGCCAGCCGGGCCTCATGGCACAGATGGCGTCCACAGCCGCTGGGGTAGCCGTGGGATCGGCAGTGGGACACGTCGTGGGCAGCGCTCTTACTGGAGCCTTCAGTGGAGGAAGCTCTGAACCTGCCCAGCCTGCCGCCCAGCAGGTGAGCAGCAGGGCCCAGGAGAAACGGTTCACTCAGGGAGGGGTGTCTCTGGCAGGCTGCCCTTGTTCCTCCTTGAAAGGTAAACTCTCTGGGCTCCCAGTGACTTAACACCAACCAGCCCTTTAAAGATAAGGAACAGCTTGGCTCAGGTGGGCTTAAAAACTTGCCCAAGGACACCTAACACGAAGTGGAGGCAGGATGTAGAATTTCCCAAGCTCTTGTTTTCCTCATTCAGGCCCAATATTGTAGCTCCTGTGTCCAAGGATGAAGGTCAGTTCATAACCAACAGCTCCTGTTCCCTGATGACCTATCTCCTCCCACTGAAGCTCAATTTGTCTTGAGCCAAATCCAATTTCAGTTTAGCATCTGGGTAAAGGGTCATGAAGATCACTACGGCTGAGCCAGGATGGTGCTAGAATCTTGGGGGTGGGGCTTGTACTCAGAGTGTGCAGGGCTTTTCTAGAATTTTCTCTTCCTTCTTCACAAGCCCCTCCCTCCTTTTTCTCCTCCCTCTCTCCCTTCCTTTCTTCTTTTTTTCTTTCCTTTCTTTTGCTTGAATGCAGGGCCTGGGTACTGTCTCTTAGCTTTTTAATCTTAGGCTAGCACTCTTCTGGCTTTTTGGTGGTTAATTGGAGATAAGAGTCTAATGGACTACCTGGTCCGGCTTTAAACCTGGGTCCTCATATCCCAGCCTCCTAAGTAGATAGGAGTAAAGGCATAAGCCACTAGCATCCAGCAACAAAAACAGTTTTGAAGCATCAGGAAACCCTGGCTATACCATCTTAATGGATTTTAAAAGGCTGCTGCTACTGGCTCATCTCCATGGGTAGAACAGCTATGGTTAGGCAGGCACAAGCTGGCACTGGTCAGCCAACCTACCTGGGACCCTGGGGACACTGGGCTGGGAATTTGTAGAGAGGCAGGTAGCCTCCTGCTTTGAAACTCACTTCTGGGTACCAACCTTGAGTGACCCTGCTGTCTCTTGTATTGTCCATCCTAGGCCCCTGCTCGTGCTGCCCCTCAACCCCTACAAATGGGGCCCTGCTCCTATGAGATCAAGCAGTTCCTGGACTGCTCGACCACTCAGAGTGACTTGTCCCTGTGTGAGGGCTTCAGTGAGGCCTTGAAGCAGTGCAAGTACAACCATGGTGAGCAATTGGATTCCAACCCTGGTAGGGACTGGGAGGGGCAAACCTTCTTGCATCTGCAGGCTGATCACCAATGTATGCTCCCTCTTCTTCCTGCTTCCCCACAGGTCTGAGCTCACTGCCCTGAAGAGTCCTGGGCCATAGCCCTGCTCTCCCCCATCCCCTCACCGACAGCCGGACTATGACGGTAGATTGTAGCTGGGACTAGGAATAAGGAAGATGTTTCTCACCCCATGTATAATACCAAAAAAAAAATGTGCAATTAAAAAGTTTATTTTCGATCACAACCTGCTATATGCCCTCTTCCTGGCCTGTCTGCCTGGAATACACTGCCTGTTGAGGGGTGGTCAGTGGGAAGAGATGCAGGTCTCATTGTTGTATGCTATTTTAAACACGCATGTTGGGTGGTGAGAGAAGAGCCCTGGTTTCATCTGTACTATAGCCAAGGATACTTTGGGCAGCTCAAAGTAGAATGATAATTAGCCAGATGCTGGTAGCTCATGCCTGTAATCCTAGCTACTCAGGAGGCTGAGACTTGAGGATCACCGTTGGTAGCCAGCCTGAACAGGAAAGTCAATGAGACTCTTAACTCCAATTAACCACCAGAAAACCGGAAGTGGGCTGTGGCTTAAAGTGGTAGAGTGCTAGCCTTGAGCAAAAATGCTCAGGGACAGTGCACCCAAACTCTGAGTTCAAGCCCCATGAATGACAAAAAAAAAAAAAAGAAAGTGATGAGGCTTTAGACTGTAGGTCACAATCTCAGGACACTGTTGTCTTTGCCCACAGGGAGACCTGCCCCCTTCACCCTTCTGTTTCTGCCTGGGTCCCTTTCTCTGTTCCTACATTTTAAGGGTTTCCCCAAGAGTCCCACATTCTGTCCTTGCCCCTCTAGCTGATGCAACTTCTCAGTAATTTCTAGGTTCTGAAAGAGGAGTTCTGCTGGGCTGCTGTTGGTTTGCAGCTGATCACATGAGGCAGAGGTTATAGTTAGCTTCCTTAGATCTAAGTCCAGCTTGGCCACTTGGCTATGATATGTCAGGTCACAAGGCCTGTTGGGACAGAAGAATAGGCTCTTCAAACCTAGTACAGGCTGTTTCATCACATATATTCACCGAGTTCGTTTAGCAGAACACTGACTCTGTACCACACTCTGTTCCTAAGCACTGAAAGCATTCCTGCTCGAAAGGTGCTTATATTCCAGCTAGGTAGTAGAACATCTGGATACAACATACAGATGTTGTGTGGGTTTAGTATTGAGGGTTTGCCTCAGCATGCCTTGTGTCTAGCCCTCAGGAAGTGATCCCATTTTGGGGTGTTTCTTATTGTTCATACCTTTTCTGTACCTGGCTCCACCTAGCGGGTCCTGGATGGTATGGAGCCTACTCTTCCGGACCTTGAAGGGGGGTCTTGCTCCTGGAGGCCATTCCTAGTGCCCAGGCGTCTCCTTCGCCTGTTGCTCATGGCAGAGAGACCTGACAGCCGGCGCAGTTCCTCTGGAAGACCCAGGATATCCTGCTGGTGGGAGCTGGGAAAACCCAGTAATTCCTGCTGGCATGTCCCCTTTCCTAACTCAACGCTAACACTCACCTACCAACTCTGGACTCTGGTCATCTAGGTTTTCCAACAGGGACTCATAGCAGTTGGGGGCTCCATTCTCTCCCTCTGTGGAATATAGAGAAAAGGACAAAGGACTCCCTGTCACTCTGAATATGAATGCTGGAGGGTTGGGGGGGCTAGGCGGGGTACTGGATCCCAGGTCAGGTAGGGGAGGGGGCAGGGCCTTGAATGGTCTGACCTGACATGACTCTTACATTCCATCATAGCTATAAAGGAGAGTGTTGGGTTCCACTTACTGATGACGCGCACCAGGACATAGGTCCTTCGCTCCTGCAGCAGGGAACTGCCCATAGAGGGTGTGGGAGAGGCCTCCAGGCCCTTATCCAGGCTTACTAGATGCCCATCCTCAGCCAAGAGGGCGATGGCCACTGGGAGGACATGGAGATTGGTTGAGCAAAGCTGGCACTCCTGCCTGGGGACCCACAGCCCCTCTTCCCCGGACGTTTCCCTGACCCCTCACCATCTGAGGTGATCTGCCCCTTCTGCTTCAGGTGAGCAGTGAGGGTTACAAGGCTGCACCAGGGATTCACCAGCATCCAGCAGCCTGCTGTGAGGAAGGGGCAGAAGTGAGTATGTGGGATCCCTGCATGTCTATCCCCTCTCCAGAGCTGCAAATAGGACTAAGGAGCTAGGTCTGGGTAATGGGCACAATAGTCCAGACAATTGCTGTCTACCTGTGTTGGAGACTTACTCCTGCCTAGAGATGGGATTGGACCTATCAGACAGGATCCCTAGTATTGGCTACGCCTAGTTAACCCCGCCCCCCTGCGCATTAGGACGGCCCCTGGCGCTGACCACGCCTCTCCGGAGGGGCCCTCCTCCAAGCGCTGCAGGCCCGCCCCCTCCACCTTCCAGAAAGGGGCGGGAGGGGAGGGTGGGGGGGATAAGCAACTACAGCTTCAGACGCAATCTGAAGCAATCTGAAGCTTGCGTCGTGCAAAACTGGGCGGCACGGTGGCAGGTACTTGTCCGGTGGAACCCGCGTCAATGATCCATACCAGACAAAGCTTGGGCGTTCGCTTTGCCTCCTCCCTAAGCCCCCTTCCCCAAACCTCCATTCCTCTCCCTCTTCCCCGCACCGCTCCATCCTTCCTCCAGCTCCCCGGAGACTTGCCTCTGAGGCTGCTCCCCCATTCCCACGGCTCCCTCCCCCACTCACCTCCAAACTTGACGGTGATAAACATGGCTTACAGCGGGGAAGAAGACAGACCCGGAGGCTTTGATATCCTGACTCCTGCCACAGATTTGAGTTCGACTGCGGAGTGGGACCCGATCGCCGAGGTGTGTGCTGGTGAGGGTGGAGGGAGGGGTGTGCCCAGACTCCAGCTGAAGCACCTGCTCAGACCGAGGCCTCTGGAGCCCCTCGTCCTGCCGCCTCTGGCTGGGTCAGAACAGCACCCCCATCCTCCCAGCTGGTCTCCAAGGCAGTGAGAGCCGCCAGTCTCGACAGGAAATGCCTTACCCCCTGTATCCTGGAAACGACCTTGATGGGGCGGACTCCTAAGGCGGGGCTCCGCGCAGCCCGCAGTGGGAATCCAGACCCGGGTTCCAGAGGCTCGGGATGATTGCTGCGGAGACAAGCCCTCCAGGGAAGAACAGTCCTCATCCAGTGCCTTTTTCCTGCCTCCCGGATTTCTAGCTATCCTTGTTTCTTTTTGGCCATGGCTTGAGTTTAGCGTTAGCACAGCGCCTCTCCAGTTTTCTGGTGATTAACTGGAGAGGAGTCTCTCGGACTTTCCTGCCTAGGCTGGCTTTGAGCCCCAATCCTCAGCTCTCAGCCTCCTGAAAATAGCTAGGATTATAGACATTAGCCACCAGCGCCAGGCTTGCCCTTGTTTCTTTTCCCCCTTGTTACTTGAATGTATTGAGGTATATTTAAAAATAGTAAAATGAGGTATATTTAAAAATAGTAAAATTTACTTTTTCTCTTCTTCTGTCGGTCGTGGGGCTTGAACTCAGGGCCTGGGTGCTGTCCTTGAGCTCATCAGCTGAAGGCTAGTGTTCTACCACGTGAGCCACAGCACCACTTCTGGTTTTCTAGTGGTTTATTGGAGATAAGAGTCTCAGGGACTTTCCTGCTGGGCTGGCTTTGAACCATGATCTTCAGATCTCAGCCTCCTGAGTAGCTGGGATTACAGGTGTGTGCCACCAGCGCCAGCAAAATTTACTCTTTTCTATGATTGCTCTGTGTGTGTGTGTGTGTGTGTGTGTGTACTGGATAAGTCCTCTACAATTTGAACTATGGCTCCCATTTCCACCCTTTTTGTAATTTTTTTTTGGAGGGGGTCATGGGTCTTGAACTCAGGGCCTGTGTGTGTCCCTGAGTTTTTTGCTCAGGACTTGTGCTCTATCACATTGAACCACAGCTCCACCTCTGGGTTTTTGGTGGTTATGAGAGGTAAGAGTCTCACAGACTTTCCTACCTGGGCTGGCTTTGAACCCTGATCCTCAGATCTCAGCCTCCTGAATAGCTAGGATTACAAGCGTGACATACCAGCACTTGGCTATTTTTTTTTTTTCCCAAGACAGGATCTTACTAACTTGCTAAGATTAAATTCAAATTCAAGGTCCTCCTGCCTTGGTTTCCCAAGTGAGTAGCTGGGATTACAGGCATGCACCACCATATCCAGTGTATTCAAATATTAGCAGATCTCATAAAACCAGTATAGCTTCAAACCAACTGTCATCTCCCAAGTCGCATTGTACTACTTTGAGGTTGTAAAAGTTGTCAAGTTTTTAAGCCCTAATCTCTTCCCCTTCCTCCAATAACTGAAGCTGGGAAATGAGAGGAGGGAATCTCCTGCATGTATATAGAAGAGTTATTCACAAAAGGCTCTGCCAGAACCACAACCTTACACAAAGGCCACTGAAACCTTACACAGAAATACTTCCTTCTACAAGGGCGTCTGCCCAACAACTGTGTGTTTAATCTTGGACTGAGGCCACCCTTGTTACTGATCCTAGTAGCCAAGGATTATTGTTTCAAACTACCATATGTAACTCATTTTACCTTTAAAAACCTCCTCTTGGCCAGGTACAGTGGCACACGACTATAATTCCAACTACTTGAGAGGCAAAGATAGAGAGTATCACCATTTAAGGTCAGCTGGGCAAAAAATTGAGACTAACTCAAGCAACATGTTTGGCATGGAGGTTTGTGTTTGTAGTTCCAGCTACATGGGAGGCATAGGTAGGAATATTGCCTTCCATAACTGACACTGGGCAAACATTCAAGACCTTATCCACAAAGTAACTAAAGCTAAAACGCTAGGGAAATGGCTTAAATGGTAGAGCAGGTATAAGACCTTGAGTTCAAAACCAAGTATCACCACCAACAACTTTCTCTTCCATAATGGGCACTGGTGGCTCACACCTATAATCCTAGATACTCAGGAGGCTGAGATCTGAAGATTGAATTTTGAAGCCAACCTTTGCAGGAAAGTCTGTGAGACTCTTATCTCCAATTATCAGCAAAAAGCCAGAATTGGAGTTGTGGTTCAAAGTGGTAGAGCACTAGCCTTGAGCAAAACCGCTCAGAGACAGCATCCAGGCCCTGAGTTCAAGACCCTTGGTTGAAGCCAGCTTGGGCAGGAAAGTCTATGAAATTCTTATTTCTAATTAACTATCAATAGAAGCCAGAAGTGGAGCTATGGCTCAAGTGCTAGAACATTAACCTTGAGCAAAAAAGCTTACGCACAGTTTTCAGGCCCTCAGTTCCAGGACTGACCAAAAAGCAAAACTTCCTCTTCTTGAATAACTTACAGTTTACAGTAGCATAGACACTCCTATTGCAATATTATTTTATTCCTAAATAAACTTAATCTTTAGACATCTCTATTATTTAGTCCACCCTGGCATCCACTGTTCCGTTTTTTTTTTCTTTGTTGTTATTTGTTCTTTTGTTGGAACTTTCTGCATCTAGCTTCTTTCATTCAGTGTGATGCAGCCAAGGTCATCCAGGTGGTTCTAAGTCAGTACTTCTTTCCTTTTCCTCCCAGTTCCATTGTCTGTTGGTTAATCTACTCACCTGTTGTCTTTTTGGCTTGTTTCTAGTTTGGGGAAAGTATGAACAAAGCTAATATAAACATTTTCCTTCAGGTTCTTGGGTGAGCAGAGATTTTCATTTCTCTGGCCTAGTAAATACCATAAGAGGGACTACTGGCTCATTGGCTGAATGTAGGTTTAACTTCAAAAGACACTGTGAACATGTTTTCCAGTGAGGCCCAACTACTTCGCATTGTTCTACTTTTGTCTTATCTCTGGCCTTCACAGATCCAAAGCAATCTAGCAATCCACAAACATTTGTGGATTACCAGCTCTTCTGCTTCCATTTTTCTCTCTTTTCTTCCTTCTTTTTTTTTTTTCCTCTGTTGGGTATCAAACCCAGGACATGATGCATGCTAAGTATGGAGGTAAATGTGTATGTGGGCCATACTCAGAGGGATGAAAAGTATGTGTGTTAGGCCACTCTGTTGAGTTTCCCTTCTGTGGAGATGGAGTCTCTGGGGCTTTTCTAGACTGGCTGGTCTCAAATCTCAATCTTCTCATTATCAGCCGTTTAAGTAGTTTAGGATGATAGGCATGAGCCCTGACATCTAGCTGGGTCTCCTTTCTTTCTGTCTCTACGGTCTTTTATTTAACCTGGTTTTCTTCTTCCTGTATTATTCCTTTAATTGATTTTTTTTCTATTTCTATCTAATTCATTCTTTCTCTTTTTATTTTCCCCTACTATCTTCCCTCTATCTTTCTTCTTCTGTCTCCTGCCCTTCCCCTCCCCTACCACCCTTCACCAAACCCTTCCTGAGTGCTGAGAGGATTATCTCCATGATTTCGCTGTCCTGTCCTCTGTGGACAGATTTCTGGACAGCAAGATATGATGGGTAGACCTTCCAGGCAGCTCACCGTTGGTTCATTCTGTCACTGAATTAGCACTTTTTTTCTTGAATGGCTTCAGTGTTCTCACCTATAAAGGGACTGAACCCCATGATCTAGCCAGGTTGCTAAAGTTTAAAAGTCTTAACACTTTTTGGTTGGTACTGTTGTTTTGAGACAGCATTTCACTTTGTCGCTCATTCTGGCCTCAAACTCATGATCCTCTTGTCTGACTTCTGAGTGCTAGAATAAGTAATCTCATGCCTAACATAAATATAATAATATTTAGAAAGTTATCTCTAGGGCTGGAGGTGCTAAAGTGGTGGAATAGTGCCTGCCTAACAAGTTCAAACCCCAGTAGTGCCTTAGGTTGTAGTGCTGATCAGCACTGTGTGTTTCCTGCAGATCGTAGCTCAGGAAGCACTAAGGGTGGAGAGTTCAATGCCAGAGTCTAGAGCCAGACTTCAGAAGAAAAGGTCATTCCAGGCCTGGGTTTACAGCTGTGTTAGTGGCTCCTCTTCAGTGCCACCACAGAGAAGGGAGCCTTTAATTCTGAGTGTCATGGGAATCCTTAATGAGATGTCAGGAATGGAGTGAGGTACCCAGGGGGCTTTATAACTGAAAGGATCCATCACATCCATACCAGGGGACCACACAGAGGCAGGCAGGCACAGGAGAAAGATTATTACAAGGTTTATTAGAGGAGCCATATTTCCCCTGGAGAGGGAGCACATAGCATCCTCCACTGTCTAGGTAGCAGCAGGATCTGGAGGGTAGAAAGGGAGGGGCTAGCTGTATGGAGGGAACTCCAGAGCTGAGCTTTTGCTCAGGTCTGGGTAGAGCTGAGGACCAAAGGTGGGCATAATGCTTACAATAACTGCCCCCAAGATTACTCTGGAGGCTTCAGTTAAAGAGAGCTCATGTTGTTGTTTGAGAGTAGCAAGTGTGTGTTGTTTTGAGAGTAGTAGTAGTAGTATGTGTGTGTGTGTGTGAGAGAGAGAGAGAAATAGAGAGAGAGAGCACACATGCATGCTACTGGGACTTAAATTCAGGGCCTTGACACTCTTCCTTAGCTTTTTTGCTCAAGGCTGGTGATCTACCACTTGAGCCATAGCTCTATTTCCAGCTTTTTGGTGGTTAATTGGAGACAAGCATCTCAGGAATTTTCCTGCCTGACCTGGCTTTGAACCTTAATTCTCAGATCTCAGTCTCTTGCATAGCTAGGATTACAGGCATGAGCCACAGGTGCCCAGTTTCAGCTCACAGTTTTAATTGTTATTTATAGACTCAGCAATAGTGAGGCCGAGATCTGAGGAGACCACTGAACTTGCTGAGAGTTTATTACTTACAGCTTCTATGAAGAGGAGGTGCCTATATCATAGGGCCACACAGGGACTCACTAGGGTTGGTCAAGAGACAGGAAGAGGAAGAACTGTGGTTTCTGCAGGAAAGGATGAGCAGGTAGGGTAGTTTAATTTATGTTCCTTGAGAGATGAACATACTAGGTTCAGTGTGAGACTTATAATAGAGGGAGTTGGGGGTATGGGCTCAGGATTGGTTGGTTTGCACTTGAAAAACACACAGCAATTTGCTGTCTGCACAAACTGGATAACCTTGAGAGGGTATAAGGTCAGTAAGGCCCCAAACACTGGAATAAAAAATTTTTTTAAAAAGCCAGGCTCCGGTGGCTCAGGCCTGTAATCCTAGCTACTCAGGAGGCTGAGATCTGAGGATCGCGGTTCAAAGCCAGCCCAGGCAGGAAAGTCCGTGAGACTCTTATGTCCAATAAACCACTAGAAAACTGGAAGT